GAGTGAGGTTAAAGTAACTGCCCATGACATTAAGACTGCATTTGACAAAGTGCAGCACTAAGAAAAGAAAACAAACGTCAAAGGGAACCAGGGGAAAGCTCTCCACTGGTTGGGGATCATACCTAGCACAAAGGAAAATGATTGCGGTTACTAGAGGTTAATCACCTCAGTCCCCAGACATCAATGCAGGAGTTTATCAGGACAGTGTCCTAGATACAAACAACCTCAGCTATTTCATTAAAAACATTCCTTCCATCTCATCTAAGATCAGAAGTGGGGATGTTTGCTGACGTTTGCTCAATGTTCAACATCATTTGCAACTGCTCAGATATTGAAACAGTCTGTGTCCATATGCAACAAGACCTGGACAATATCCAGGCTCAGACTGAAAAGTACCAAGTGATAACCCAACTGCATAGCTGCCAGCTAATGGACATGTCCAACAAGAGAGAACTTAACCGTCACTCTTGATGTTCAATGGCATTAGCATCACTGAATCTATTACTATTGACATCCCAGGGTTACTGCTCAGAAGCTGAACTGATTAAGCTATATCAATACTGTGGTTACAACGACAGGTCAGAGGCTAGGAATTCTGGGGTCAGTACCTCACCTCCTGGCTCTCCAAAGCCTGCCTACAATACACATGGCACAGGTCAGGAATGTGACTGAATACTCTCCACTTGCTTGAATGAGTGCAGCTCCAATAACACTCGTGAAGCTCATCACCATCATGCATCATGCTTGACTGGCAGCTCACCTAACAACTTCAACACCACTGACAAACAGCGACGGAAAGTGTACCATCTACAAGATGAACTGCAATACTTTGTTGGAACAGTAAAGCAGGAAAAGGATGGAAATGTTAGTGTTAGCACAAAGTAGTTTATTTTAATGGCAAGTTACTGGAAGGTAAGGAATATTACTACAGACACAGCAGAAGCATGCCACAAAGTGATCACCCAGTCTGGATTTGGTCTTACCAATGTAAAGGAGATCGCACTGTGAGCAGCGAATAAAACAACATTGAAAAAAGTACAAGTGAAACACTGCCTCACCTGGAAGTTTGTGTTTGGGGGTTTCGGTGATGAGGAGGGAGGTGGTGAATGTTACGCCTTCTGTAATTGCATGGGAAGCTGCCATGGGAGAATGTGGAAGAGTTAGGAGCGAGGAAAGAATCCCGAGGAATGAACAATTCCTTTGGAATGTGGTGATGGAGAGAGGAAGATATCTTGGTAGTAGCATCGTGCTGGAGAAGGCAAAAATGGCAGACGATGATACTTCAAATGCAGAAACTGGTGGGATGGAAGGGGAGGGCAAGGGAAGCCCTATCGTACTCTGGAAAAGATAGGAATGAGTGAGGGCAGAAGTGAGAGATGGGTCAGACATGGTTAGGAGCCTCACCAATTATGGTGGGGGAATTTTCAGTTCAGGGAAAGGGCAGTCATGCCAGAAGCAGCCCTGTGGAAAAGTTAGCATCATCCATGCAGGAGGTGGCGGCCACAGCCAGAAAGCTGGAAGTTGAGAAACTGCCATAAGTTTCACAAAAGAAAGTGGGAAAAGACTGAGCAAAGGGGAAACACATAGAATCAGGAATAAATAAGTTCAGTCTGACAGGAACAGGCTGACATGATGGGTCTACAGTACAGTTTCGTATTTGGATTTCAGTAAGGAGGTAGAAGCTGGTTGTGTATGAGGACAATGAGGTGTGGAGGGGAGATCTCCAGTGGGAAGGAGTTCAATGACTGTCTGAGAAATCACAGCTTGATATTCATTGACAGTGTCATGACCAAAGGGAAAACAGGTGGAAGTGTCTGAGAGTTGACACTCAGTCTCTTCCAGGTTGAAGTTGGCACACCAGATGACCGCCACTCCACCCTGGCTGACAACAAAATCAGGGCTCGACCCAAGAGAATGGAATGTAGCAAGTTCATAGGGAGACAGACTAGAGTGGGTGAAGGGAGTAAATAAAATAAGGCAGCCAATGTCACGTTGACAGGTCTCCATGGAGAGATCAAGTGCAGACAAAAAAAGGCCATGGGATCTTAATAAGTTGGTCTGTGACAAACATGATACATGAAGCTGTTGTATGTCACGGCAGGTTGCTGTTATTGATGATGGCGTCTGTTGCCAAACTGAGGTAGCCACTGTTCATTGCGTTGTTGCATGCTAGCCAACAGGAGGTGCTGCCATTTCCTTTGCACCAGCTAGTGATTCATGTGTGACAGTCAATGTCTACAGCCTTCACATCACATTTGTAAGCATCCTTAAGATAAAGCTTTTGACTTCCACTAGTCGTCTCACTCGAGCTATCTCACCATATGGAAAATCCTAAATAGGCTGTTTACTGAGTGTCCATCATCCCTTGGAAATGGAAGGACAGCAATAACAGGATACAGTTAGCAATTTTCTTGGCTGATCTTAAGTTGACAGAGACCAGAATGTGGGAGTCCAGCCATGAGTGCCTTGGAATAATCAAGTCTGGAGGTAGCAAAGGCTTGAATGAAAGTTTCAGCAAGAGATTAGTTGAGATGAGGCAGTGTCTGATGATATTACTCGGGGGAAAACAGGCAATTTTAGTGATGGTGCAAACATGTGGGCAGAAGCTCATCTCAGGGTCAGATGTAATAATGAGTTTGGTTCAGCATGGTTCCATTGCCAGTGAGGTCCAGGAAATAGTGACAAATGGAGTTCAATGTGGGGAAGAGCACAGTCATCTGTTTACCATCCATGAAAAACAAAACCAAATATTTTTCATTTCAAGTTGTAATATTGAGGGCTGGGGAGGATCAGAAGGATTTTGGGATTGTGGGAAGACTGAAATCAAGTGCATGAGTATAAAAAAGTTGATGGAATACTGATCTTCATTTCAAGTGGTCTAGAATGTAAGTTTCAATTATACAGAGCATTAGGCAAATGTCATTGCATTAAGAAAGCTGTATTCAGGTTTTATTGCTTCACCTCAGAACAAATATACTGGTCTTGGAATGAGGACAGGAAAAATTCATCAGGATTATAAATGACTTAAAGGGTTACATCAGTACAGGTTTTATAAACTTGGCTTGATTTCTCCCATGGTTACGGGAGTGGTGGTCGTGATGATTAAAATGATAGAAGGATTAAACAAAATAGAACAAGTACTTCTTCTGGTGTGTTCACCTAGAATAGAGATATATAATCTTAAAATTAACACGAAGATATTTAAGATTAAATCAAGTAGTAACTTTAGATTCAAGTCACAATCGTATTAAATAGCTGAACATATGCCACTGTTTGGTCCTGTTCCTTTGTTTCATTCCCTTACCCTCTGGTCACTGTCTCAGATTGAACCAGAACTTTGACACTCTGTCATAAAAGCTATTTCTATCAGCAGTAATTTTAACATCATTGTTTACCTTAAATTTTAAATGACATGTCGTTCAATTTTCCTTGTGTTTTACCTCAAATGATTAAATTGCAAAACCTGATGCAAAAGTACAGTTCCTCAAACTAGCCACCTAAAAATGAAACTTTCCATTAATTGGATACTTTTGAAATGGAGTGCTTGTCCAGTTTTAGGATCAATGTCTGTGTTATTGATTATCCTTCTGCTCAGTTTATTTCCAGACTTCTTCCTCCTGTGTTCAGATGAGGTCTCTCAAAAAAAAGTTTCCATTTTTCATTCCTACTGTGGAGCAGAATCACCCTCCCTGTCTTTCAAGAGAATTGCTCCTCAGGCTTTCCCCTTGGGTCTTCTTGCCAAGCACTTTTGGGTGAGTAGATGCTGCTGGGGCAAAGGGAAACACATAGCCACAACCTCACAGTCGTTACTGGCATCTGCAGAAGTGCCTGGGGTGAGCAATCAGGCACTTGGGACGGTTCCTTCATCTATTCTTTGATGTTTCTGACACAGTAGGGTCCTGGATTAAAGGAAAAATTGGACAGAAGCATCCACTTTCAGGTTAACCTGGATCCTGAAGCCTTTACTGTTTGTTTGAGGGTCTTTACTACATTAGACTTTTGTAGTTTCAAGATATCCAAAATTTGGGAAAAAGAGCAATCAAGCATGACAAGGTCCTGAGGTTGCTGGATCTGAGGTACTGTATCAATTTACATCAATAATGCACTGCAGATTAAACTGTATTAATCTTCTAATTGCAATACTTGATGAATTCAGTAACATCAGCACAATATAGGTTATTTAAAAAGTCAGAAATGAAATGTCAAAATAGTCAGAAGATAATCACATCACAGAAGAGATAATGATGATAACAATGTTAAAATCTAGAGAAAAACTCATTTTTTCTATCTGAACAAATCTAAGTTATTCTAACTGTAACCAAATGGTTTTATTTCATTAATTATATAAGATTTACTGACATCAGTCATACATTATTTTAAATGTTACTGAAGGAATATATTTGTGAATCTTTGCAAAATTTATATGTCATATATAGCTCTGTTATCTTTTACACAAATCATCCGACATTGTTCTACACTTTATAACACATAAACAATAAGAAAAACAGAACACATACACAGCATTTCATTAAAGTTTCTTAGCCTTGTTCTTTTAGACCATTTTGTAAATGACGGTCACTGCTGCAAATTTTAGAAATAGGTGTCTGAGAAAACTGACACCTAAATGATTATCTGATGCACAAGTACTTGTTGCTTATAGATTTTGGAACCAGAGTTATATAAAATGAAGACAAGTAACATGGATATGGAATACCGCTCGCTGTTGCTTATGTCAGATTTCCAATTCCACAAACAAATCATGCCAACCCTTTGAAACCCAATTCAGAAATCTGTTCAACATTTGCATTTCAAAACGTCTGCAACTGGAGAGCAATGCCAAAGAAGGAAAGGCAACTCAAACCAGAAGAAACCACTAACCTGATACAACTTGTCAATGTGACAAATGCAAGTACCAATTATGCTATTTCATTTGAAAGGAGGAGCTATCAAATTCACTGTAGTATGAGTAAGCTTTCTCATATATAAATAGCAACATGTATTGTTTTTGAAAACACTTCTTCATCAGGCACCCCACTATTTCAGAGGATAAATTATTGGGAGACTGCAGTGAACCAAGATCGTGGACATAAAATATGTTGGTATGTTTGAATTTCAATTCGAATCAAGATTAACAAGGGAGGAAACCGTAATTGTCATTTTGCTTGCCAAGTACTTTAAAAACTACGCATCATAGCATCCTGACTACTGTCGCATTGTAGATTTTCTGCTTTTATTACTATCATAGTGTGAAGAATTAAATGAGATTTAAAAACTAAATGTTCTTATTCTTCCAGATTTTAATATTAATATTAAATTTCTTAATTTTTATTGCTGATAGTGAACTTTTTGCCTTTACTTTTAACTTTTAAATCTCAGTGGGACAGTAGACATTATGTAATCATGTTAGATCATATGTCTATCACTATTGAGAACAAATTCTGTGAATACTTTACAGAGCTGAACTTCAAACATGGCTGTAAGAGAAAGTGCGGCACTTCTGTTGCTATTGTCTGTTACCTTGGCCAATGGACATGGATATTATAGATATAATAATGCACGTCACCTAGCTGGTAAGTGTTCATGAGGAGATCCCTGAGAGTTTCAACAAATGTGGTGATCCAAGTTGACAAAAAAGATGGGGCAGCTCACTATGAACTTCATACATTTGTTGCTGGTTTCGTTTTAGGCTGATTCAAATCTCAGACAACCAATCTTAATATTTGTGTTCCTCCCACACCACCTTGTTTTTTTCAGTATTCTCCATGTGAGGTACCCACATGATATAACACTGCCTTAAAGTAGGCAATCCATGCTGCTATCATTTAATTTTTCCAGACACTTTGGAATGTTAAAGTGTGTACAGGTTGATGTACTCTTCAATTTTCTGTCCCTCCCAAAGGGGAATCCTTCACAAACTCCTCAGACAACCATGGTGAGATTAAGATACTCCTGTGTGAACTTGTAGCCAACCATTTGCTGGCACAACATGTTGGTACATTGGCTCTATCAAATCCATAATTAGTGTTAGCTAACTGAAATCATTGCTGAGTGTCAACAAAATTAAATATTTGGCTATCACAACTTCATACTGAAAGCCATGTGATATTACAATGAGGAATCAGGATTCCAATAAGAAAAACAATTTAAAGGACTTACAACTTGAGCATTATAAACAATGTGCACTCCCCATGCAAGTCACAGAATATTAGTTATTCCACATGCATTGTCACCATCATGGCTTACTTAAATGTTAGAAACCATATATTATCTCTAGCTTCTACCAAAACAGTCACCATCAGTAAATGTCATGTTATTTGTGGGTGATGATGAGAAAAGCAAATGCCTAACACTGTTCATTCTTGCTTACGATATGTCTGCTGGATCACAAGCTGGAAAGGACAATAAGATTCAAAATAAATTAGAATCATAAGAAAATATTATTTTAACAGTACTGTCAACTTAAAGTTCAGTGAAAATCATTTTTAAAAGCCTACAACAGTGGCTTCCATACATCTAGTGCCAGAAATGGAAAGGAGGGAAATGGGTATGTGGTTATCAGCAGGGATCAGCTGACTACCGGATAATAATAGAAATGGGAGGTGAAATAACTACTGCAAAGTTTTTGGATATTTTCTGAATTCAAAGTATTTATGAAAAGAACTCACATTTGAGAAGGTTAAGTTTTGTAATGTTCTCAATATTCAAGGGTCTCCAAATTGTGGTTTATGCTGTGATTTAACTTTGTGGAGATGCAAGGATGCAGGCCCCAAGTTACTTTAAGCAGAATGGGGATCATAACCCTATCATCCGAGCCATACGCCAACTGAGCTAACTGGCCTCCCCAGTGCGCAATACCTCAGTTTTAAAATCCTCATCTTTATTTACAACTGACTCCATGGCTTCACCCCATACTTTCTGTAACCAGTTCTATAAACCTCGAATAGATTTCTACTCATTGAAGCTTTAGCTCTTGTGCATTACCAGTTTTCACCATTTCATCAGTGCACGCCTTCAATTGTCTTCGTTTTATGTTCTGGGATTTGTCTTAATTTCTTGACTTTCTTCATCTCTACCTCTTTTAAGACAGCCTTTAAAATCAACATTTTTTGATTCACGCTTTCGATCTTTTTTCCTGATATCTCCTGATGAGGCTGGGTGACAAACTGTATTTGATACTGTTCTGTGAAGTGATTTGTTTTGACTATGTTAAACAAATGGTAGAAATATAACATGCTGTTGTTGTACTTGTCCATGGAAAACTGGTTCTATTGTCTAAGCGACCAAGTTTTAATATAATATGCATGGTAAAGGAGGCAGTTTTAAAATTGAGTTTTAATCAGAATAGATTGTGAAAACTTCTCTAAACATACTTGTAACACATTAATTTATAGCTACATTTGTTCAAGGGATTTAAATAAATATGACAGGAGCTTGATGACTCTAAACAATTTAAAAAAGCTTCTGAGGGACTGTCCATTGGAGCAAAATTGTCATCTTATGTGACTTGCTGTGAATGTAAATAAGTTTAAAAATTGAAAATTAGATGTACCAATATTATGTTCCAGTCTAAGCTGCACATCCTTGACAATGCGAAATGTAAGTTTTTTTTATCCTTAAATAATTCTCTACACGACTCCAGCACAGAATTCCTATTACATCGTGATATTTAGAATACAATTATTTATCCATTTAGAAGAAAGGCATCTGAGACTATAACAAAATATACAAAATGTCTGATGATCTAACAGTCGTTTTTACTGCCACTAGATCATTTAAATTCTCTAATGAGGTTATCTCCTGCATGGTGTCCAGGAGTGATCTGATTTTCCTGCCAGTGAGTTACCCTAAAATTTATGAAGAATTATCAAAATAGCAAAGAATTAAAATAGCAGGAGACAGGATGACATATGTACCTACCTTTATGTACGATAGTTAAATATTGAAGACTCAAACCATCTTTTGCACAAATTAAGCACAATACTTTAAGAAAATATGATCAGACACATTGTTCAATGTTAAACTATAAATTATTTTAGTGCCATAAAGATTCAACTGAAGGAACAGAAGAATCCCTTCAGATTAGCCCAAACTCAGGAAATTCTTAGGAGCTACATTTGGTTATCGGGAGCAAAGTTATACTAACGAGCAGCAGCTGATTCCGGGGATTTGATGCAAAAGAATGAGGATATTTCCCTGACATCAAAACCGAAACCTATAAAGGCAGTTAATTTCTACTTACAATTAAATTTCTACACTTAAAATTGTTTCAAAATTAATTCCTGCACAGCCAATATAAGCAAAATACACAGTGAGAGGTTGTGAGCCGTGTTGTTGACAAGAACATATTGCTACTTTTATGAACACAAGAATATTAATTAGAGGCAGTAAGAGGTCATTTAGCTCCATCAAGCTTGCTCCACCATTCAACAAAATCATGGCTCATCTGATTGTGACCTCACATCCACTCTTTTGCCTACCTCCAATACCTGTTCACTCCCTTGTTAGTCAAGAATCAGTCTCACTCCTGCTTAAAAATATTCAATGACCCTGCCTCCACCATTCTCTGTGGAAGACAATTCCAAAGACTTTAAACCCTCAAAGAAACAAACCTCCTAATCTTCTGTCCTAAATGAGCGACCTCTCATTTTTAAATTGCGCCCTCTAGGTCTAGACTCTCCCATAAGGGAAACATCCCTTCAGCATCCACCCTGTCAAGCCCTCTTGGGTCTTTGTGTGTTTCAATAAGATCATCTCTTGTTCTTCTAAACTCCAACGAATACAGGCTCAGTACGTGCGACCTTTAAAGATAACTCCCTTGACCCAGGCACCAGATGAGTGAACTTTCTCTGAACTGCTTCTAATGCATTGACAGCCTTTTGTTTAAAGTAAGTCTACAGTACTCCAGATGTGACCATTCCAAAAATTTGTACAGCAGAAAAAAAGCATGACTACCTTCATGTTCCTTTCTCCTTGCAATAAAATTACACATTCTATTTGCCTTACTAATCACTTGTTGAACCGATATACCATCCTTTAGTAATTCAGATACCAGGTCATCAGATCCATCTGTATTTCTGAATTCTGCAAGTTCTCTCCATTTAAATAATGTTTCTACTTTTCTTGCTGTCAAAGTGGATAAGTTAACATTTTAACACAAACTTTATTTGCCAATCTTTTTCCCCTGCTCACTTATACTGTCTATATTCTTTTACTGCATCCTCATGTCCTCTTCAGAACTTATCTTCCTACCTATATTCATGTCATCAGTAAATTGAGCAACTCAGTCCCTTAATCGAAGTCATTCATATAAATTGAGCCAATTGGTACTCTGCTCGTCATATCTTGCCAACCCGAAAATGACACCTTTATGTCAATTCTCCATTTTCTGTCAGCTAGCCATTCCTCTATCCATGCTAAAATGTTGCCTTTAATGCTGTGAGCTCTCATTTTGCATGGCAACATTTGATTTGGCACCTTGTCAAATGCCTCCCAGGAATGCAGAACTACCCACAGGTTCTACTTTCTCCACGCTGTTTGTTAATTCCTTAAAGAATGCCAATAAATTAGCCAAATACCATCTCCCTTCATTTAAAAAAAATAACTTGTTGACTCTGATTTATTGCACTGAGATTTTACCAAGTGCCTCACTGTAACATCCTTAATAATAGAATATGTTTGAGTTAGCAGGGCAAACTACTTGAAATAATTATCGTTCATCATGTATCCTCCGTTTATTCAACTGATTGTGCTATGTAACATTTACTGTAACAAGCAACATACAGTAACCTACAGAAGTAAACTATTTCACATGCATCCTTCCACAGCGAGTCTGCAATGCCTCTCTTGCTATTAAAGGGAAGGTACAGAAAAGTAGTAGGATACCTAAAAGGGGAAAAAGACTGCCCAAGACATTTGTGCACTTCCTAGAAGGTAGCAAAAAAAAAATCCGGATCTAGTTTTTCCACTTAAAACAAAAATGTGTGCAATGTAAGAAACTGGAAGAGAAACAGAAAACAATGTAAGAAAAAAATCAAGAGAAGTACAACATTTTACATTAATGTGTCAACCCTAAATAGTGTAGATATGGTTATTGCAAAGGTTTAAACGGTAATATTTCACAAACCACCATTATTTGTAAAGGAGAAGATAAATTTCATACACTGCAGAACTGAATGTTTTAACTATAATTTATCATTGAAAGCGACATAAATAGGAGTGTTGAATTCAACACGTCAATCATACCGCAAAATTGCTAACAATGCAAAAGTTAATGTCATTTTATACTTCATGGACTCAAAAGCTTTAAAATTCATAACCAGCAATAAATTAGAGCTCAACAAATAGGGAATCTACAAACCAATAAGTATTAAGCAGGTATGGAAACCTCCACTGAAGAACTAGGAGAAAAATGGAAAATTCTGTTGACTGTAATTTTGTACAAAATAAACTGATACAGTGCATTTGAAATAAAGAAACAAAATTATGGCGCTGCACCTTAAACAATTCATATTTAAGGACCTTCCTAATTTAAATTTGTTCATATTCTAACTGGTTGACATCACTAATCACTACCTGCTAAGCTTCCTCAATCTTAGTTCCTGCCTGGATAATAAAATGTGTTCTTTCACCCAGGTCCCCAGCTGCTTTTACATTCAAATGTCTCTGCAAATTAGTGTGCACTGATAAGGAAAAACAAACATATTCAAACATAATGCAAAATATTTCAAATCTACTTCAAAACAATTTTTGATGTACGGTAAATATTTGTCATTAATATAAAATGTAACACTGCACCTTATTTTCCTTTCAAGTGTAACCCGTGTGTGGCTGCAAAGTTGTAGTGAAGAATATTCTATTGGTTTTACATTCCAGCAGAAACACCTCCAAATAATTCAGATGTTCTGCCTGAAAGATATAGCTACTTTAGCACTGCTCGAAATATTCCTTTCTTTTCACTATTCCTGCTGACAAAGATAATGGTGCAAATAAAGTACAAACAGAAATAGGAAATCATTCTGCTCATCATCATTATTATTTAAAGCATTGCAATACTGTGCTGGTAAGGTTTAGAAGTCAGTAATCTTGCCTGAGTCAGAAGGGTGTGGGTTAAAACACTCAGTCTCAGCAGACAGCCGAGTGCAGTATTAAATTAAGGTTGTAATGCCAGTGATTGAGATATTTGACTTTCGACAAGAAGTTCAACATAAATCATGAATTTTACAAAGTGAAAAAATTTAAAAGCCTCCTAATATGTTTAGACTACCACATCATTATCACCAAAGGATTTCAGACAACTGACAAATATTTCTACAGGGCAAGTGCCAAAAATATTTGATACCAGAGAATGTTCAACCATGGCCTTGCTTTATGAAATAAAACTGTTTTTTTGATTACATATATACTAAAAATCAGTTGCTATGCTGTAGCCCATTTTGGCTCTTTCTTAATAATCATGCCCAAAGATTCAAGTTTCCTGTTTTGAGAATAGCCATCAAAAAATGTGGGTGGTTTTTTTGAATTTTCTGTTTACTTTTTATTCATGTCCAGCTTGATCACAATGTTTTTAATAACAAAAGAATGATTATAATGAAACCTTCAATGCATTACCTATCTTTAAAATATGTTTATAACAACATTTTGTGTCAGAGAAGTTATTCAAAGAAACTTCTTAGGAGGAACCTTAAGGAAGAAAGTAAATACCACAGTTAGCATTGAGAATTCTGGACGACAAATGTGAATATCGTATAAAAGCATGCTAGCTGTCTGTTTTCCCCCCTAAATTCAGTGTTTCATCTGTTTCCCTTTTTATCCTTCATCAAAATTTAAAATTTGCCATGAACAAGTACCTACCTAACTTTTAGGTATGTACAAATTATGAACGTTTAAAGTTACATTTATTATCCCCATAAAACCAAGGTAACTTAGCCATTATTTTCATGCCTTAGTGTACTACTTCTTTATAACATGATTGAAAACAACAGTATCCTACAGTTTTTAGAGGACAACCCCTCCAAAAAAAAATTTGTAGCAACCACCAGTCCCAAATTTTATTTTTCTGATTGTACATGAACCCAAAGTAACAAATGAAAGATACGAAAAGGTCCACAATATTTCTTGACTTTTCCAAAACAGGTTACCGATACAGCAATGGAGATTCAGACAGTTCAGAAGAAAATCGAGTGTCTGGTAGCTCTTCCCCAACAGGTGAGAAATAAATCATTTTACAAACAGAATTTTAGAAATCACTAACTTACACTATCAGAGATATAACTGTATGGGGCCAATGAATCTAGTATATGTACACATGTCTTTTAAGTACGAACCTTGTGTCATGATTTTCTGAAATATCTACTTCTATTATGCCTTGATGCGGAGGTGTCGGTGTTGGACTGGGTTGGACAAGGTCAGAAATCACATGACATCAGTTTATAATCCAACAGGTTTATTTGAAAACACAAGTTTTTGGAGCGTAGCCCCTTTGTCAGGTGAAGTGAGAAAGAAGCACACAGAACACAGAATTTGTAAGTAAAAGATCAAAGGGTCACACCATTGATGAGGATGCATTAAACAAACCTAAGATGCTGTTAAATCTTTAATCAGTTAGATGGTTTTAATTGATTAATATATGTAAATCCTTGAATTCCTTTCAAGTCATTTCCCTGAGAACTAAAGGTTTTATCAGTGTAAAGAAGAGGTGACAGTTTAGGTCAGACAATGCATGTTAGGTGTGAGGCCTTGTTTTGAATCTGTTTCTGTTTAGGTTTGGAATCAGACTGGTTTTATTTCCAAAGTAGGACATTATAAAAGACAAATACAAATTCACCCCACAGATTTACATGTGGATGCAAGCACGTGTGCACGCTTGAGGGAGCACTTGAGAGAGCGCGCGCGCGCGAGACAGACAGTGTGGCGTGAGGGAGAAAGAGAGAGTGTGAGAGAGAGAGAGAGAGAGAGTGTGAGAGAGAGAGTGTGTGAGAGAGTGTGAGTGTGAATAGCGTGCTGGAGTCACCTGTAGTGCAACATGAACCCAAGATCCTGGTTGAGGCTGTCCCTCTTGTGTACTCTGCTCGGCAACTCTGAGTTGTTGTGTATCCTGAAGTCCGCCTTGGAGGATGTTTACCCAAAGATCTGAGGCTGAATACCCTTCACCACTGAAGTGATCCCCCAGTGAGGTAACATCCCTGTTTGTCTATTGCTGCACAGTGTCCATTCATTTGTTGTCATATTGTCTGCATGGTTTTGCCTTCCAACTGATTAAAGATTTAACAGGATCTTGGGTTTGTTTAATGCATCCTCCTCAGTGGTGTGATCCTTTGATTTTTTTACTTATAAATTTACTTATAAACTGATTCCATCTCTTTCACCGACACCTGAAGAAGGAGTGACACCCTGAAAGCTTGTGTTTTCAAATAAACCTGTTGGACCACAACCCGGTATCGTGTGATTTCTGACCTATTATATCTGTCATATTTAAACGGAAGAATTACTTAACTCTCAATGAGTCCTCCATACCTGTTTTTCAGACTGTGTGTTGCTTGGTTATGCTTATGGTACCGTAAACCACTTTAGAGTGCTAAAGTGCTGCCTCTTCTTCCTGAACCTTTGCCAATTTTTTAACCATTATCTTTTTCCTGTTGGAAATGTATCCTTAACTCCAAAGCCCTATTATTGCCACTTCTATCTCTCTTTTTTTTTTACTAAGCATACTTCAATTATTCTAACATCACATCCATGACACAATGTGTCCCAACTCCAACAGTTGCTTCGCCAGTGCTGGTCTGAAAAGTGTTGAAAGCACTTGAACAATTTGAGACATAATCCCAAAAATAGTTGAGAATATGGCATGCACAGGAGGATATCCATCAGAGCTCAAATAGCATTAGATTCACTGCTGTTCCACAACTCTTTTTAAGAAATCCCTTCCCACCACAACCTGACCCATTCTGAGACAGCTGTTGACCTGATCCATCACCACCAATGTCTAAACCTAGACCTCTTCTTGATTCTAGAACTTGCATTCTAGAACTTCCTGTAGCCCCTTTGGTGCAACCATACTTTGAAAGTTATCTCATGAAGCTATCAGATTTTGATACCTCAAAACAGCATTCTCATAACAACCACTTTGGACTACAATATTCTTAAACACTATGGCTCCTGCTGCCAATGTCCACTAGCACCCTCTCAATATTGTCAACCCAAGCAACCCTATAACCTGTCACTGCTACACACTTGCTACAACCTGCAATCTTTTTCAACCATTGTTCTCTGCATTAACTATGTCAAATTAACTACGTCAAAAAAAGATTCAGTTTCCATACCAATTTGTGCATCTGCAGGTACAAACTTAAAGGTATCACCAAAAATGCCAGCACTTTATAATAAATACAATTTGACTTATTCAATTGCCATAGGTATGTACCCCTAATAATATTTTGCATACCATAATATTACTTTGTATATCGCAACACTTTAGAAAACTCTTATTGACAGGCTCAAAGCAGCAAATCAAAAACAAACAGATAAGGGGGCAGCCATGGAGAAAAAGCAAGCTAATGTTTCAAGTCTGGATGACGATGAAAAGTCATCTAGACTCAAAATGTTAGCTTGCATTCTCTCTATGGATGCTGTCTGACCAGCTGCGATCTCCAGCATTTTTTTGTTTTCAGAACAGATTCCAGCATCTGCAGTAATTTGCTCCTGCAAAGACATAAGGAGCGCGCAAATGAAAATACAGTAAAACAACTACACAGCAATTGATGACAACTAATGAGTGATGACACCTGTCAATTCTGCCATACAAGTATACCAAAGGAAAAGTACAGGCAAATCAATGTAATCATTTTGATCTAGCTACCTCTCCTTCTATTGCTATAAGACTCTCATATTCCTCCATCCTAGTCTTCACACATCCTAGATTATCCTGTTAGTGCTTCACACTTCGCTACACTATTCAATGTTACCATTTTCAAAATATTCCACGCCACAATATTAAAATTAAGCATGTCCCGTTAACCGATTGCATTTTGTCAGAAGTATAAGGAGATCATACCTCGCTGGGATAAAGCCTAAAGGGGGTAGAAAGACAAGGGTCACAGATACACAGATCACTAAAAGTCAAGATGGGGTTTAAAAAGGTGAGAAAGAAAATTATTTTGCTTAGTTTCCACAAGAACAGAACTGAAAAACAAACAAGTTGTGTTAAACCTGCATTCATATCTTAGTTGGATCACATTTGAATATGGTACAGGTTGGATTTCCTTATTACAAAGTCGATATTGAGATACAGGAGGAAGAGGGAAAAATATTTGTGACATTGATAGCAAAACAAAGGAAATTTATTTATTAAGAAAGGCTAAACAGTTTCTTGCCTCTAGAAAATAGAAGATTGACTGGTGACCAGATAAATTCTCTTAGAGTTCTTTGTTTTTCTTGTATTTTCACACATATTTATTTTCTCCTCTTTGGGAAATATTGGGGACGTGTTAGAAGAATTAGAAGACTGATTATCAAACTACTGGCCCTTCTCATAAATGCACCTTCCATGGCCAACTAGTCCTGCAGTTACACTTGAATATGGAGCTTGGAGTTCAGAGACAGGGGTACGAGCTCTAAAATAATGAAACGTTTTGGAAAGGTAGACTAAAAATGTAAGCTTTCATCTGATACACAGTCCAAAGTTGGAGCTCATATATACAAGATGAAATGAAGAATTCGAGAAAAGTTCCCTTTACGAAAAAGTAGTAAGAAAGTGAAATATGAGATCACAAGGAGCGGTTATAGAATCATAGAGTTGTATAGCGTGGAAACAGACCTTATGGTCCAAATCATCCATGGTGACCAGATATCCTACATTCTAGAGATAGTAGGAACTGCAGATGCTGGAGAATCTGAGACAACAAGGTGCAGGGCTGGATGAACACAGCAGGCCAAGCAGCATCA